ATTATTATTATTATTATTATTATTATTATTATTATTATTATTATTATTATTTTAATTAGAATTTATAATTAATTACAATTTATTAACTTATTATTATTATTATAATATATGATTATTATTTTAATTTATAATTGTTATTATAATAATTATAATTATTTATTTTATTATAATTATTATAAAAAAAAATAAACTGACCGGCCGGCGGTTCCGGAAGGTTTTTCGGCCGTCCGGTTCGGCCGATCGGACGGTTTTTCGTCCGTCCGGAACCGACGACCGGACGGACGGCGGCCATCCGGAAGCACCGGCTGGACGGCCGCGCAGATTCAAAAAAAAATTATTTAAAAATAGTTCTGGCATTAAAAAAAATAAAATTACCTTGTTGGAGAAGAATCCTTTGCCGAGGCCGTAGAATTTTTTCGACATTTTTTCGGATTTTTTTTTATGCTCGAATCGTTCGTTGAAGTTCGGAAAATTTAGAGAGATGAAGTTTAGAGAGATGAAATCCAAAAAAGGGTTAAGGGCAAAAGAGTAAATGGGGGGGGCGGGCGGTGACTAGTAAAAGGGGGGCGGAGAATAGCGATTGAGTAAAATATATTTCAATCATCTTACATTAAATTGTTTAAAATATTAACTTCAATGTGGATAATTTTGGTGTCTAATAATGTTTAGAGTAAAAATTAATAAAACAGTGAAAAGAATAACATCTTCCACATGCCAATAGATTCTTTAATTAACTGGGTAATATAGCTTGCTATCAAAAACTAAGTTCGACTCGTTAAGTTAAAGAGTCAATAAACGAGCTCCAACTCGATTTGCTCGAATTTTAACGAGTCAAATTATGTTAAAAATTCAATAATGTAAAATTTTTATTTATCCAATCTAAGCCGAGTCAAACTTTATTCATTGACTAAATGAGAAGAGCTGAATGAAGCTCTTGAGCAGGTCGTTCAACAATTCAGCCGGATAATAACAATATCAACTTTCAAAAGTGGCAACGTAAAATGTTCTTGCCCCGCTATACTAAGTGAGTCGACTCAGAATCGGAGCCATCTTGTTCACTCGTGGACGGAATTTGATTCTGTGTAATGAAAGTGATGGGATCCTCCACTTTACAGCCCTACTTTATGCTCAGAGCCTGCGACGTCGTATTACCACTCCTCATGGATACAGCTAGTCAAATGAACATCTTTATACCAAAAAATAAGAAGTGTTTTGCTCTCTAAAATCAGAGAAAAAAAATCGACTGAATTAATCACCATAAATGCCATTTGGCTGCTTGAAATCTCCATTTTCGATGCAAAAATCCGACCTTTCCCTCGGTAACGATCTCCCCGCCATTCGTATGTTTTCGGGTGTTTCTTGTTTTTTTATTTTTTTTTTAAAAAGAAAAAAAATGTTATCTTTTTGTCCAGTTGAGTTGCTTGTCTAAATATCAATAAAATTGTTGGTTGCTTGTCTGAAGCTCAAACTCTTGATTAACGTTTGGTTTGTTCTTTTCGTCGATTTCACATTTTGTCTGACGTGTATGTGCTGTTTTAAGCCTTCTGGCCTTTTTGGTTGTTTTATTAATTGCTGTTTTTGGAAGTTCAACTCTAAAGTTTGTATCTTTTTTCTACCCTGTTGCGTTAACATGGATTTGGGCTCAGGTGTGTATTCATCACAAGAGAATAATTACCTTTTTTGGAAAAAAAAAATTGTATTACCAATATGATTCATTCAGGTTGTTTCTGTATATTTATATGTTGAATCTGTGTTGTTATGTGCATTTTCTTATGTATGTTTGTGCAGGAATACCAGGTGATGGCAGGTGTTTATTCCGATCCGTGGTCCATGGCGCTTGCCTGAGATCAGGAAAGCCATCTCCAAGCGAAACCCATGAGAAGGAACTTGCAGACGAGCTTCGAGCAACAGTTAGCACATCCCGGTTTTTCTTTTCTTTTCATTTTTGATATCCTTAAAAGAATTTCGAAGCTTTTTAGCGTTTTACTCATAAGAAGATCATGCATATATATGCAGGTCGCTGATGAGTTCATCAAGAGACGAGCAGATAGCGAATGGTAATTGAAGTTGGAGTTTGAAATCAAGAATATCATTCTTTAGCTATGTAATTGTGAATGAAACTATAGTTTTGCTCAACATTGTGCCCTTTTATATGTTACTATCGAGCACGTAAGTTGAATTTCATATCTTTTTTTTTTCTTTTGTAAGGTTTGTCGAAGGCGATTTTGATACTTATGTTGCACAAATGCGAATGCCCCATGTATGGGGTGGGGAGCCCGAGCTACTCATGTCCTCACACGTGCTACGGTTCGTGCATAAACGTTATTATTGTTTTTCTTGAAGTTTTTTTTTTTTTTTTTTACTTCAATCAAGTGTGTATGTTTAAGGACGAAATTTTCCTCAGGGTCCCAATAACCGTACACATGTTTGATAAGAAGAAGAATTGCCTAAAGGTTATAGCCGAGTATGGTCAAGAGTACGGTCATGAGAACCCAATTCGCGTTCTTTATCACGGTTATGGGCATTACGACGCATTGCACGTCTCGTCTAGTGGTCTGCAGTTAAAGTTGAGTGCGAGTTTTCTTTGTTTTAAAATAAGCAAATTTTTGTTGGTGTAATGTTATATGTGTTAACTTTAAACTGTCATTGATTGTTTGGTTTTCTTTTTTTTGGTTTTCCAAATTTGCAGGGACAAGAGATGATGAGATGACAATTGCTAAAAAAATTGTATAGTTCTAACACAGCAACTGATTCTAAGTTCTGCAAAAACTCATGTATGTGCTGCCAATGCTATAAGATGTAAGAATTGACAAATTATAAACAATAATATATAACAATAATGAGAACAAGATTTACCTTTTCTGCTATGGTGTGTGATTAAATCTCATGAACAGCACTTAGAACACTCAATTTCTCATGTAACATCAGAGTGAAGAATATTTTCTCCAAAAATTGAATTAATACCACCAAATTTTCGAGTTATTACAAAAGGAAATAAACAGTCTCGACTGTACATAATACGCACATCGATACAAAAGGAAATAAACAGTCTCGACTGTACATAATACGCACATCGATACGTATAGAAGCGGCTAGCTACTCATCGTCTTTCCAAATCCCCTTGAGCAATTGATACCGTACAATGTTTCTACTGTCACCATTTTCTTCTGGTAACAAACCGAGTTTAGTCAAATCAGAAGTCCTTAAGCTGTCCGGAATAATGGAGGTGTAAGGAGAGTCGAGCTCATCCAGCTCATCATCACTCGTGTATGATTTTTTGATCGATGATAATCTGCTGCTCGATAGCACTTGGCTCCCAACTTCCCCTACACATGTTAGTAAAGCTGCAGAAGGAGGTAAATATGTCGAGGGACTTGCCGAGTAAGGAAAGCTCGCGACTAAATCTCCCGAATTTTCTTCATCTAAAACCTCCTGAAAATCGAGAATGTAATTAACTTCTCTTTAAAGATTGTAGATGTAATTTTTTAATGATAAAACCGAACAGACCTCCGAATTAAGGGCATCGATGATGTCTTGTGGGACAGTATCTGGACAGAACTCGTCTGGAACGTGATTGTTCAGAACCCTTCGGATTATTGTTGGACCTAGGATCGGGCAAACCTTAAAACGAACAAAAAAAAATATCATGAGAAAGTAAACGGGAAGTTTTAAAATGTGTGTGTATAAAGAGGAACTCACTTCTCTTCGGGTGGAATTATCCGCAAGCATCTTGAATGGAAGCATCATGAGATCACTCAATGCATGCAGCAAACGGAAGGCCTTGGAAGGTTTCGATTTCTTTCCATTCGAGACAATATCGTTATTCCCGGTTGTGTCCTCTTCTAGGCCAAACAGGTCACTAAGCCATCTGGACCAGTTCCCAATCTGCACCAAACAATAAATAAATAAAAGGAAAAGAAAAGGACATTATCCATTTGTATGTTATAACGCTTTTTTTTTTTTTTTTNACACTTACGGAATTTTTCAGTTCCACACCGGCACCAAAGCTTGATTTGCCAGGCGGGATCGGAAGGACTTTAGCTTCGGTAATGGGATCAGAAAGAGGATCGGTCGGCATATCTTCAGCAGATTCACGCAGAATCGCATTGAACATAGCTGTGTCCAGCCTGTCAACTAACTGCTCCATTACCTGATCGAAATACAGTTAAAACTATCATTAAAATAATCTAACAGTTTGATGATTTCATGGCATAAAGCATGCAGTTAAAATTTAATGCATTTGTCTAGCATCAATGTTGTTACAATGTTCGAACTTTTTCTTAAAGGTTAGTTTTTCTTTTAGATGTACCTTTCAAGTTGAGTCTAATCACAAAAGAAACCAATGATCTTCTGAATAGACAACATTCTAATTGTTAAAGATAATTAAACTTCAAAAGAGTAGAATAGACCAAATAATTATGTTCATATCATTTTTCTCTCTTCCTTTTCTAAGCCATCTATTTACTAGCATAAGTTAATAAAATAATACAAAACATACCAGCCTAACAAGCACGGACAAGCAGCCACACTCGTGACCTGCTGCTCGAATGGGGCAAAGCCTTTCACATGCATCTTTGAAAGCTTTTTTCCATAACTCTGTTGAAAAATTCCCCTGATCATTATGGCTACCCAAACTGTTCCTTCTCCCACACATTTTCTTTGTAGATGAAATTGAGTCTACATCTCTAATTTTTGCAGCTGCCGGGTGCATATGTGGCGTGAAAGTCTGACAGATCAGGAACCAAAAA